AGGCGTGGTACTACAGTGTGAGATTTTTTGTTCGTCTTCTTTCCTGGGATCTATACTTTGGTAAGACAGGACAAGCACGAAGGAGAATTAGATGAAAAGATAATTCTAATATGAAAATATACATAAAAATACCCAAAATAAATATTTTGTTCATCAAGACAGATCAACAAGAGGAATATGTACCCCAAGAGAGCTAAACAAAAGACGTAGTAATGTAGTACGCACGTCAATAGAACGATACAGAAGAAATAATGGGACGGACTTCAAGAGAACTAAACAAAAGACATACTTTTTATGCGCCAAAGAACCAAACAAAAGACGTATTGCCTATGTCAAAAAATTTCCAAAATATATTACAAAGGAGCTAGACAAAACACGTACTAAGTACACCAGGACAACAAAACAAAAGACACATTACACCGAGAAAACAAGAAAAAAGGCACATTATGTACGTCACGAGAACTAGAAAAAAGACGCATTACGTACGCCAAGAGATCGAGACAGAAGACACTTTACGTACATCAAGAGAACTAGAAAAAAGGCGCTCTGCGTACGCCAAGAGAACTAGAAAAAAGACGCATTACGTACGCCAAGAGATCGAGACAGAAGACACTTTACGTTCACCAAGAGAACTAGAAAAAAGGCGCACTGCGTACGCCAAGAGAACTAGAAAAAAGACGCATTACGTACGCCATGAGAACTAGAAAAAACACACATTACGTACGCCAAGAGATCGAGACAGAAGACACATTACGTACGCCAAGAGATCGAGACAGAAGACACATTACGTACACCAAGAGAACTAGAAAAAAGGCGCACTGCGTACGCCAAGAGAGCTAGAAAAAAGACGCATTACGTTCGCCATGAGAACTAGAAAACAACACACAGTACGTACGCCAAGAGATTTAGAGTATATTCATTTACTCAAAACAGGATCCTGTCACACAACAAAAATTGTGACGTAGGACTGGCCCGATATCACTCAGCGACTCAGCAATACAAGGAAGACTAAACATTAAGTCTGAGAGTGATGCTGAAGCAATTCATGGTTCTTAACTATTATAAAGATAATATACCGATGCTGGCAAAAGATTGCATCGAGAGTCTTTTCACCGAAGAAATTTCGCAGCATCTCATAGCCCACCCCTTTTCTACTATTAAAAAAATACACATGGGTAGAAGACAAACAAGGAATCGGGTTAGAAGAAAACGAAAAATATCGAAACGCCATTTTACTGAGTAAGGCCTATGCTACGAATTTTAATAAAATAAGATAAGATAAGATAAAATAAGATAAGCTTTAATGATCCAGGACGGAAATGTTGAGTGAATATAACAGTACAATAACATGTTCAGCTTCACAACACAGAAACGCTTTTAATGTATAATGATACATACGACAAGCATAATTTACTCACAGTAGTGTGACAAATTTAATTTACTTTCCGGAAAGCGTTCTACAGTCTAGCATGTTTAATGCCTGTCGCGTACCTATTATTCAGAGCTCAGAAGGCGTCTTTTTTTTCATCAGAAAACAAATAATGAAACTGGCTAATAAACGCGTACGCCCGTGATATTTTCACAAGACACACGTTTCATAACCCCGGATCTTCTTACATGCCTTTCCCCTTATTTCTGTTGAACATTTCTCTCAGGATTTCCTTGTATTTTGAACTCATGTTGTAGTAGACGAAGATGTTCACGGTAGAATTTACAGCCTCCATTGAGTTCAAAACCGTCCAGGTCAGCAAATACAAGTTATGATATCTGCCAACCATATTGTACTCGTTGATGCTGAACTGGGCAATAATATTGAGTGTCCCCGGTAACAAGCAAACAATGAAAATGACAGCACAAAGAAGAATCATTTTCACCACCTTTTTGTCTCTGTTCGTTACCGACTCCTGTTTAGCGGAGCTGGACGTCGACTGGCGCCATTTTGATTTCACGAGAAGATTCTGGACGAGGATGACGGTGCAGACGAGAACTGCGATGAAAGCAGCAATCTGAGAAAGGGTATTGATAGACAGACAAACGTCCTTGGTATTCAAACCGTCCTCTGTGTAGATCAGTCCAATTTTCGTCGCATTCCTTCCAGGGAAAAACCTAGGCCCGAGACTGATGGAATAATACACTGGTACTACACTGACAATCATTGTTAGATATATGCCGACAAGCACGACATTCGTGGTTGTTGGTGTTATAATTGTTTTGACTTTGAGGGGCAGGGCAATGCACAGACACCTCTCAAATGTGACCCAGGCTGTGATCCAGCTGGAGATTCGAGCAAAACAAAGGCGAAGCCAGCCTGCCGTGATGTAGGTGAAGCCTTGCTGGTCAATGGGCAGGTCGGCGTTCATGAACAAAGGGTTGTAGCTGATGCTCATCCACAGAAGCGTAAGTGAGGATAATACATCGGAAACGGCCAGGCCGAATAATGTAATATTCACGGTGTCTTTGAAGCCCTGCTTAAAGAAGACGATTATGTTAATGGTGTTGAAGATCATTCCAAAGAAACTCACGATTCCCAGAACAACGACGTAGAAAATGAAGATGAAGATGTTCAGGAGATCAGCATCTACCAAGCCTGCCTGCGTTGATTCGGAAGGTTGCGAGTGGCTTTTGTTTGCAGTGGCCATCCCGGATGTAGGAAGAAGTAAGACCACGAGTATAAACATCAGAATCTATTGTAGTAAAAAGAAAGAAAAAATACAAATGAATGAGCTAAAAGAAGAATTACTGGGCGGGAGGGGTTTGGGGGGGGGGATAAATCGTTAAGCGTATACAGGCGTGACTTCATGTTTACTTATTTACCTAGGAATGTGAGTTGATTGAAGGGCGCATTATAATTTCTCAACCTTGACCATGTATAAGGTGAGAGCAACTATATTAAAAATAGGCTAGCACTAACAATGATTCTCTAAGGTTAGGTTGTGTCTAACTAATTATTTGCATATGCAATAAGATCTAATTTGGATTAGGTTTTTAAAAAAAAAGCATTAGCAACCAAATTAAGATCAATATTTTCCTTGATGTAGCCGTACGTAATTATAATATTTTACCAAATTAATCCATTCTTGTTCTTTTTTTAATGAAGATGTACTTACGCCTCATCGACACAATTTGGATTATTTAGG